TATATATATATATATATATATATATATATATATATATATATATATATATATATATATATATATATATATATATATATATATATATGTCGTACCTAGTAGCCAGAACTCACTTCTCAGCCTACTATGCAAGGCCCGATTTGCCTAATATTATATCCTATATATTTGCCTAATGTATATATCTCAAAAAAAAAAAATATTAATCTTGTCTAAATTACCAAAAACTGTCAATGCAATCAATCAGAGCTTTAATATACCAATGTGCTTTAATATACTTACTAATCTCTCCCATCTCATTTTTCTTTTTTCTTGCAATGTATCTGGTATCATTTTATTAATTCTGCTGGAATTTACCTACATAAAATTATCTGTTAGATTAAGGACCTGCCCGCAACGTTGCGCGTACTAGTGGCTTTACAAGATTGTAAACACCATGCTATGTATTCTCACAAAGGAATAATGCAGTAGAATATGCACTCAATATAACAACCATGATATCAGATGATATCAAAGAATATAATGGTAAAGTTATATGGCTTAGGTACATATATTGGGGGATTGGGTAGCACTAGATAGAGTGCGTGAGAGTTAAAGCACTGTAAACGCCACAACTCTGCTGGGTCTTAAAATACAGATAGAAAAGATCATCCGAGCCAATGGGGGGACCTTTGAGAAGCCGCCGGCTTACTGTCCTCGTCGAAGCCACTAGTATTAGTGGCCCTCAGGTATATTCAGATAGATAATCGTAACGTAATCTACTCAGCCCTTGACAAAAAAGAGTTTCCGATTGAACTCTTCATTGACCTAAGAAAAGCCTTTGATACTGTTAACCACAACTACCTCTTACTTAAACTCCAGCATTATGGAATCCGAGGCCTTGCCCTGGACTATATCCGATCCTATCTTAGTGACAGACACCAATATGTAACCATCAATCATACAACCTCTTCCACTCTAAATGTTTAAATCCCTTAACTTGCTAAATATTAACTCCCTCCACACATTCTCTTGTGTCAACTACATTTCCAACTCTGGCCCCAGACAGCACTCGGTACCCTTACTCAAATCTCTGAATATGTTAGATATTAAGTCACTGCACATTCTCTCATGTGTATTATACATATATAAAACACTGAACTGTAATGCCAATCCTGACCTCAAAAGCTTCATTGAAGGTTGTAACAGAACCCATGAGCACCACACCAGAAACAAATACAGTTTTGATATTCCTAGAGTACGACTGAATCAAACTAGAAATGCTCTACAAATCAAGGGACCCAGAATGTGGAATGACCTTCCCAACCATGTTAAAGACTCTCTCAACCAGTTTAAGATAAAAACGAAGCTATACCTAATAAATTCCCTGTAACCTACCTTACCCCTCTATTGTCAACCCATGTCTGTTATTTTAAACAACGCTGTTTGTCGACCTAATTGTATTTGTGCTGCTTTTTCAGCCATGTTCCCCCTTTTTTATCTTTATTTTTATTTGTTCTCAACACATTTTTATTCTTTATACTCAATTAGTATTAAGTTTTTAGTCATTAATGTTTTTCCTGCCCGAAACGCTTTGCCTAATAGTGGCTTTAGGCATTGTATGTACTAGCTCCATCTTTAAATCGATCAATTTATGTAAAATCTCTTATATGTATGTACCTTACCTGACTAAACATTTTATTTTATTTTATTTGTATTTATTTAGAAACCCCTATTCTTAAATGCACATCCTGCTCTGAAACTCTCCCTGGACAGATGTAATAGGACCCATTATCACCACACCAGAAATAAATATCTCTTTGATATCCCCAGGGTCAAGCTTAATCTGCGTAAACACTCTATGCAAATAAAGGGACTCAGTCTATGGAACTCACTACCTAATGAATTGAAAAGCTGTCAAACTTTTGCCTTATTTAAAAGCAAAACCAAAAAGTACCTAATTTCATCTTCTTAGTTTCCTACACTGAGCTTTAAATTTGCTCTTTATCTAGTGTTACCCAATCTCCCAATCTTTATGTACTTAACCCAAACAACTTTATCATTGTGTTCATTGCTGTTTTCTTTTATGTGCTAGCCATATGCTGTATTGTGCCTGCTAAGTTTTGTTAAATTACCCTTCAAGCTGTCATTGTAATCACTCTGAGCTACCTATGTGCTTTAATATACCTACAAATTTTCTCTCATCTTTTATTTTATTCTTGCTATGTAACTGTTATCATTCTTATAAATTTTTCAAGTATTTACCTACTTAAAATTTTCTTAGATTATAAGGACCTGCCCGAAACGCTGCACGTACTAGTGGCTTTACAAGATTGTAAATACCATACTATGTATCCTCACAATCCCAATGTACCTTCTTGTATATAAATAAATAAATAAATAAATAAATAAATAAATAAATAAATAAGTATAACCTTGCATAATAAAGTGTACACCAATAAGTAAATATAGTGGTAGTGGCTTGGCTCTTTCTCCTGATGCTTCCCCGTCACCTTGGCTGGTGGGTGCTGTAGCTGCCCCGGACCCACTACCACAACAAGAGGAGCATGGCGGGAGACCAGCAGCCGCAGGGTGACGCTATGGAGGCCTCGGAGGACGTGGGGGTGGACGCTGACGAGGAGAAGGGCTCGGGCCTCAGGCTGCCCCTGGCCAGGGTCAAGAAGATCATGAAGGCTGATCCCGACCTGAACCTGGCCAGCCAAGATGCTGTCTATCTCATAACCAAGGCTACGGTCAGTCCACCACCGCGAATTGTCCCTCATTTATTTAATTATTTATTTATATACAAGAAGGTACATTGAGGTTAACAGAGAACATAGAAATTACGTTGAAGTTTACATTCTTGTAAAGCCACAAGCAATTACGTTGAAGTTTACATTCTTGTAAAGCCACTAGCACGCATAGCGTTTTGGGCAAGTCCTTAAACTAACAATTCACAGATAACTCATTATCTGACATATTTTGCTGTGACCTGTAACTTAAAGACCAATCATGAGGACCGTGGCTGTAACAAACATAAAACTCTCACATTACACATGGAATAAGTGAAGATATTTTGGACAGTCCTGAACCATTTATTTATTTATTAACAAGAAGGTACAATGGGTTGGTGAGATTACATAATACTGGTAAATCCACAAGGGCCGTGATGAGGGTTTGAACTTACGCCCAGGATGATCCCAGACGCTGCCTTAGTTGACTAGGTTACGACACTGTCATAAGTTCGAGCCCTCATCACGGCCCTTGTGGTTTTGTTCATTTTATGCTTCACACTATTGTGATTTCTATGTGTATAATACTGGTATTTTTACATTCGGGCAAAGCCACTAACACGCATAGCGTTTCGGGCATTATTAAGTTCACCAGATTTTAATTCAGGATGGGCTCAAATAATACTTCCTTAAATGTTTAATGCTAGTGTAGTGTTTCTAGTTAATCTAGATGGGCCAACATGCTCACAGCGGTGAATACAAGTGGCAGCGGCTGCAAGCTCAACAAGTATTGTTATACAGTACAGTGGTCTCTTTCTACAACTTCTATCAACATTATGTAATAGTCTCTGTCATCCTTAATCCCCGTGCTGCTCGGCTATTAAGTATCCTTTATTTTTCTATTCATTTGTTATTTTCCTTGAATGTTCTCATTTTTGTTAGCTTCTCTTTTTAGCATTAAGTGTTTTACTCACACCTTTAGTTAAGATTTTTTCTATATTATTTTAAGTTTTGCCCGAAACACTTTGCATAATAGTGGCTTCGTTAGTATGTGTAACTCCTGTCTGTACAATTGTACATTACATGTACAATTGTACATGTTCTTTGTACACATATTCTTTTGAATAAATATAGCTTATTATTATTATTATTATTATTCTAATTATTATTATTAATAATAATAATTATAATAATAATAATATAAGCCACAGTGTAGGACAGAAACTGGAGAAAACAGCCCCTCTCCTGTGCCGGTAAGTTCACTATGGGATCACCATAGCCTGTGGTATTTGAAACTTTTTGTTCAGAGGAGCTGAATCTAAAACAACAAACAATAAGGAGATGCTTTTTCTCCCATCGATTTATAAAACTCCTAGAGCTGCCTACCCACTGAAGCCACAAATGTCATGACATTACAATACTTCAGTTCAAAATGCAGTTAAAAAAATCCTCAGGAACAACAGCAGGACCTTCGATAAGCTGCCAGCTTCCTGTCCCCATCAAGGCCACGAGAGAGAGAGAGAGAGAGACATTGGTCCTCAGGTAAATTCAAGTGGAGATGGTTCACCAGTTGGTTTTGAAGCATACCTAGCCTAACTTAACCCAACATAACTTATCCCTTACTTATCTTATCATAACTTGTTGGGGGGCCTCGTAGCCTGGTGGATAGCGCGCAGGACTCATAATTCTGTGGCGCGGGTTCGATTCCCGCACGAGGCAGAAACAAATGGGCAAACTTTCTTTCACTCTGAATGCCCCTGTTACCTAACAGTAAATAGGTACCTGGGTGTTAGTCAGCTGTCACGGGCTGCTTCCTGGGGGGTGGAGGCCTGGTCGAGGACCGGGCCGCGGGGACACTAAAGCCCCGAAATCATCTCAAGATAACCTCAAGATAGATCCCAACCTATCCTAACCCTACCCATCCTAACCCTACCCGCCCTAACCCTACCCGCCCTAACCCTACCCGTCCTAACCCTACCCGTCCTAACCCTACCCGTCCTAACCCTACCCGTCCTAACCCTACCCGTCCTAACCCTACCCATCCTAACCCTACCCGTCCTAACCCTACCCGTCCTAACCCTACCCGTCCTAACCCTACCCGTCCTAACCCTACCCGTCCTAACCCTACCCGTCCTAACCCTACCCGTCCTAACCCTACCCGTCCTAACCCTACCCGTCCTAACCCTATCCATCCTAACCCTATCCATCTAACCCTACCCATCCTAACCCTACCCATCCCAACATAAGCTAACCCAGCCTTACCTAACTGTATACAGTACAGTATGTGATTTTATCATTTGGAAAGTGAGTCTAGTCAAAATCCTTGTGTACTAGTTGACCAAACAGCAGCTGCAGCAACTCCTATTCTTATGATATTATTATGCAAATGGCAAAAGCAAGTAAAGGTTGTATGTGAGTGGCCAAAATAAATACCTATACAGGTATATTATAAACTTCAGTTCAACTATCTGTACCCAGAAGGATTTTTTGTGAATTAAAAATATATATCTTGAGATGATATACTTTCTTAGAGTGCAAAATGTTAAAGATGCCTTTCCTAATCTAAGGAGCACAGGACTGTTTGGATACAAGGCAATAAGATATTGTATTGCTGTGTATTTTGACACTATTGATGCTGGATGAGACACAGCTCTTCCATGCTAACTATTTTCCTGATGGTTACATTTTTGCTCTTTCCAATGATATTAATATGTTTTGGTTCATAAGTGTAAATGCCGCTCTTCTCATCAAAGACCTCGATGGTAACGTGCTCGCCCTAGAAGCCTGGCAAAATGATGTGTATTACTCTGTTAGTATGATTAAGAAGCACTGTTTGGTCTAGTCAGTAACTGGTCATGTTGAGAGCCTCGCTCTCAACACGGCCTCACCAGATTCCTTGTTTCCAACAATAATAATTCATTGTGTCGGGGAACAGGCAGCCAGTTTATACATACAATACATGTTAGGCTTATATCGATGTCCCTGTCAGGGTCGAATTACTGACTCTTCACAGGATGCAACCCCACAACAAGCTGACTAACTCTTGGGTACCTATTTACTATTAGGTGTATAGGAGCATTAGGTGATAGGAAATGCACCCAACCATTTCTGTCCCGCCCAGAATCTGAACCCGGAATTCTCGATTGTGAGTTGAGAACGAACCCGACTATACTATCGGGACCCTAAATATAATAATAATAATAATAATAATAATCTTTATTTAGGTAAAGGTACATACATAAAGAGATTTTACAAAGTTTGTTGGCTTTATAAATAGAGCTAGTACATACAATGCCTAAAGCCACTATTACGCAAAGCGTTTCGGGCATATATGACTGATCCTCCTGTTAAGATGTGTCATATATTAAAAACCAAATATGTAAATATGTACTTTTTGTAACTGTGTGCTCCATAGTTCAAACATTGATGTCCTAAGCAATTAGATGTAGAATTTGCTACTATTCACTTTATTTAAAAAAAAAAAAAGCTAAAACCAAACTTAAATATTCCTAGGCCTAGTATAGCACACATGTACTATATTAGGCCTCATATAGCATTTATTAGGCCTAAGAAGGGTAGGTTAGTTAAGTTAGTCTTTGCAACGTACTGTAAATAGAAAATCTAATCTAGTTTGTCCAAATTCAGTAGTACTGATTTCTACTTTCTACTTGCGTTGTACGCTGGTATATATACTATATACCATATGGTACAGTATATGTACCGTACTGTATACAGTAATTTGTACTATATTATAGTCCTCATTGTTGTTATAAGTACAGTACTCCTGAAACAGGAGGATGGGCTGAAAAATAATATACCAGGTGCTACTACAGTATTCACAAATTTTTCTGTAATCTTAACCCATTTTATTAACTTGAAATTCATTTTTTGTTATGAATAAGCTTAGTTGCAAGGGTTTGGCGTGGTTGCAAACAGAAACCTGTATTTAGGCTTATCAAGGTCCACACCCACTAGGCCAATTATACTGGGTATAAATTGGATAAGTTTATATTAGGAAAGCCCTGCCTAAATACTGGTTTGGCAACAGGGTTGTTGATTTTTAGAACCAATTACCACATAACACATTAGAAGTAGGATCCCTTGATTGTTTCAAGCATAGGTTAGACATATATATTGTAACAGTTTGGAGTAGTCTCCAATCACTGCTGCTACCACCTTACCTGAGGTTACCTTGAGGTGCTTCCGGGGCTCAGTGTCCCTGCGGCCCGGTCGTCGACCAAGCCTCCTGGTTGCTGGACTGGTCAACCAGGCTGTTGGATGCGGCTGCTTGCAGCCTGACATATGAGTCACAGCCTGGTTGATCAGGTATCCTTTGGAGGTGCTAGGATAATATTCCAGGATAATATTCTGAAACCAGGATAATATTCTGATACCAGGATAATATTCTGAAATAACGTCCCCACTTTTAACACTTACCGTAATGTTGCTCTTAACTTCTAACTCGTTAGGCTATAATAATTGTTAAATAACACCCCAGAGAACTGTCCGAGTCTGCCCTTGCAGCAGGTAATGCTCAGGCAAGTCAACAGGGGAATACGGGGGAAGAAATGAACCAATGATGTTAAATTAACTTTATGATTCTTACAGCACTGGATGGTATTAGAACAGGTTACTCAAACAGTTAATTAATGCTTCCACCACTTCTCCTGCATTTGGGGTAATTAAGCTAATTGACTCGGGAGAAGACCAGTCAATTAATACAGAGTATCCAGGAACTTTGGTATTTAAATATGTAAATGGAGAATGGAATTTTTTTAACTACTTGATTCAAGGCAAGGGGAATATATTGACTCAAAGATACTCGTAAGATTGCAGGTAATGTCCTAAACAACTCGGGGTCTATGATTCAGAATAATTAAGGTAAAGCATAAAAAATACATCAGAGAAATAATTAAACCATCTTTATTAAAATAAATGCAAATTAAGTGAACCCTAGGCTAATGAAATCCTATCCCTGAGGCAATGGAAATGGAACCACAAATTGTACAAGCAACTGAAACAGCACTTTACTGCATCCTGCTCCCAAGCCGGTGGTGTGGCTTGCCCCAAGTTGAGCCAATACCTCGTGGTACACGCCCTGCTCACACTGTTCCGACCATGCTCATTTCGCAAGCAGGCGAGCTACCTTTCTGTACCATTCTTTCAGACCACCATAGGCCTGGATAGGCTTTATTAAACATAACTCTAAAACCAACAATCTGTTATCTAGAAACTGCTCAGTAGAACAATGCTGGCAATTTACTTGCACAATGAGACAGGTAATAAATCCTCTCTAAGTGAAATATATAATACATGATTATATCTATACTATGGTACCACTGGTGGTACCTTTAGGTAATAAATCCTTTCTACATGAAATATATAATATATTACATATATTACAGTCTCCGTGGTGTAGTGGTAAGACACTCGCCTGGCATTCCGCGAGCGCTATGTCATGGGTTCGTATCCTGGCCGGGGAGGATTTACTGGGCGCAATTCCTTAACTGTAGTCTCTGTTTAACGCAACAGTAAAATGTGTACTTGGATGAAAAAACGATTCTTCGCGGCAGGGGATCGTATTCCAGGGACCATAGGATTAAGGACTTGCCCGAAACGCTACGCGTACTAGTGGCTGTACAAGAATGTAACAACTCTTGTATATATCTCAAAAAAAAAAAAAAAAAAAAAAAATACATGATTATATCTATACATACTATGGTACCACCAGTGGTACCATTGTATAGATATAATGCTTCTTCTCTCTAATGATCTCTTGTTTTTCCTCTATTGTCATCCTCACATGCGCTTTCTTGCGTTGATCCTTACCACAGGCTTTCTTGGGACCCATGGTGAGATATATAATAACAACTTTTATGGTCAAATGGCCAAAAATCCAACAAAACATCATAAATCCTGGTGAAAAATTCAGGCGGGATAGTCACTGGGAGCGAGGCACTGGTAAACTGAGGGGCAATCGTCTTGTCACCACACGTTAGGTCAGCCTTGTATGCATATCATCACCCTCGACTTTCGAGGCAACGCTTGTATTCCGATGTAAATTTTCCAAGCAAATCCTGCTCGTATTCCGTAGAACTCGTATACAGGGACACTCGTATTCCGAGGTACCACTGTACCGTATATAGTGTTGCAGAACATTGTACTGCAGAACAAGGTACTGTATAGTGTTACAAAACATTGTATACAGTACCTTGAAAAAAGATATAGGTTACATCCGAAAATTTAGTTTTTAGTACATTTATTCATTCAGTATATTGGGTCTTTCCTTCACCATTATTATTATTATTACTGTATTATTATTATTAGTATTATTTACTGTACAGTGTATTTTTTAAGGTAACAATGTTTAATTAGAGTAATGTTATTCCAGGAACTGTTTGTTGAGAGCCTGGTGCAAGAGGCGTACCACTATACCTGTCAGGCTCGGAAAAAAACTGTGTCTAGAAGAGATGTTGATAACAGTATTGAAGCCATTGAGGCCCTGGCATTTTTGGATGGTGCATTGGAATGAAGGAACCTCATAGCAAAATTTACAAGATTATAGTTCTTACTTCCCTTTATTATATCACATGTACTGTATTAAAAACTAAATGTACCTATACAGTACTGTAAATTTATGGAAATTTGAATTCAGTATTAAAACAAAAGTGCCAGTGCTCATCACTGCTGATGCCATATTAATCGTGTATTACAGCTGTGTGTATCAGCAATTGTATGAATGAATAGTCAGCTGGAAGTCCAAGCACAGTACAAATAGAAGTAAATGAAGCTAGTGTGTGTGGATGGTATTCTGTGTAACGGCAGTAAACGAACACCTGCTGACTTTAACATTGTTCCTTGATTTGAGATTTAGCAAAACGTTATTTTTAGGATTTTAAACTTATTCTCATAAGTTTAAACCACTTGGACTGGATGGTAGAGTGATGATCTTGCTTTATGCAGGTTGGCGTTCAATCCTCGACCGTCCAAGTGGTTGGGCACCATAGCTTTTCCCCGTCTCATCCCAAATCTTTATCCTTACCCTTTCCAAATGCTATACTGTATAGTCGTAATGGTTTGACGCTTCCCCTGATAATTCCTTCATAAGTTTTATTTCTGTGTGTCCTTGGACTAGTCGGTAGAGTGATGGCCTCACTTCTTGGAGGTCAACATTGGATCCCCGAAGCTGCAAGTAGTTGCACATCGTCCCTTCACTGTCTTCATGCTCCATTTCCCACCTTGTCGCTCATATCCCTTCCAAGTGCTATATAGTCATAGTGACTAAAGTTTACAGGGAAAATTATTAATTGTTATGGAAGTTGAATTCTTTGTATTTAGCGTTAGATGGAATCAGTAGCAAGAGCAAATAAATTAGTTCTTTTAGCTTTGAAATGTGTCATCTTGAATTGTGTAGATGGCTCTGCCATTAATAGTATGCTTACATTAGCTGGCTTAGTACATAATTTCAAAAGTTGATGGTTAAATATTGCAGCAAATATTTTAATGAATTGGTAATTTAGATTAATACTTAGTGTTGCCTGGATAACATTTGTATGATACTGTGCTGCATTTTATGCAGTATTTATGGCACAGTATTTTTATGCAGTATTTATAATTTAAACGTAGTTGTTTCACAAAGGAAGGTGTGATATTTTGACTGCTGAAGTGAAAGATTACTACTGTATGAAATGTAATGCATACATTGTCCCAGCGGGTTTTCTTCCTATTGGGGAGTGTTGTACATGCTGCTATGGCGGTATGGCCCTCACAGGATGAGTGGCGCTGCCCAATAAACTCGCCCCTTGGGACAAAATTTAAAATTTTTTAATTTACATTGATGGAAGGATTTTACGGATATAAATTTGTGCGACCTAACTATTGTAAACTTAACCATAAAATGTTTTATTCTAGCTTGTATATATATCTTGGTGATCCCTCTAGAAGTAATTTGGAAACAAAGTAAAGTATTTTTATGTTTTCAGTCTTTTTTATTATCCTGTAATATATATATTTGTGTTTTATTACTTAGAAGAAGGAAGTGATAATTATTAAGTACAACAATTATTATAATAATAATAATATAATGAATTAATAATTATCACTTTTCCTTCTGCTTGGTCTTGAAGGAAGCCGGCCTTGGATGAATGAGGGCTGTGATGATCTGTCTGGAACCCGTAGGTGTGAGGCTCGGAAGTCCACCTCCAGGGACTCGTAATTACCTAAGTGTAATTACCTAAGTGTAGTTACAGGATGAGAGCTACGCTCGTGGTGTCCCGTCTTCCCAGCACTCTTTGTCATATAACGCTTTGAAACTACTGACGGTCTTGGCCTCCACCACCTTCTCACTTAACTTGTTCCAACCGTCTACCACTCTATTTGCGAATGTGAATTTTCTTATATTTCTTCGGCATCTGTGTTTAGCTAGTTTAAATCTATGACCTCTTGTTCTTGAAGTGCCAGGTCTCAGGAAATCCTCCCTGTCGATTTTATCAATCCCTGTTACTATTTTGTATGTAGTGTAGTGATCATATCACCTCTTTTTCTTCTGTCTTCTAGTTTTGGCATGTTCAATGCTTCCAACCTCTCCTCGTAGCTCTTGCCCTTCAGTTCTGGGAGCCACTTCGTAGCATGTCTTTGTCGTGCAAAGCATGTCGTGCGGCCCAAGCTCTGCTTTAGGAGGCTGGGGTCGTTCTTGCCCTTGCTGGGGTGGTTCTTCGCCGACCCTGACCACGGCGGTCTCCGGGTTTGGAGTCCCTGTGCATTCTTTCACCAACTTTGAGGTCAAATCCGGAGCTCAGTTTTTGTGACGGTGCTGGAACCAATAGTATTGGCGTTTGCCTTTCCATTAGAGACTTTCAGCGCTGTGGAGATGGGGGGACCTGCTGCATGGGTATCAGCTTCTCCCCCCGTATCAACCTACCCTGGCTTTCCACCCTGGAGAGGCCACTTCAGACCGACAACCAAAGTGCAACTCCATAGTCTCCTGAGACCGATGGATGCCTACTACTACTACCTATTTGTTGTTGATTAATTGTAGGTACAGACTCATATTAATCAATAGAACACAAGCTATGGTGATTGTATCTTGTTATCTCTATATATGTTTTCATAACTTATTATAAAACTGTCAGTCTTTTTGGTACTTCCAAGATTTATTCCAACTATTATTACAGTATAACTATTTCTGAAGAAAATTTTTATATTTTTCTTCTCTTACTTTTATAATTTGTAGTTGAGGCATCTTGCCCTGTTATCAAATCTCAAAAACTCCTCCCTGTTGAACTTCTCATATCCTTAAATAAAAAAAAAATTGTGGTTATTATATCTTTCCATTCTCTCTTCAACTCCGACATAAGTCACTAGTATCCAGCTACCGTTGTAAGTTATTGGTAGGGTATTCAAATCACTTTAAAAAACTTTGTCATGGAAACATTGATAACCCGTAAACACCTCTTCTATACATGCGATCTGTAGACACCAAAATCATGTTTGTGATTTAAAATGCCAAGTGTCCAGTTCTCCAGATGCCAGGAATTCATATTATTGGTGACTATCGAGTCAAAGAATGTACAGCACAGGAAGTTCAATTTTGGAGGTTACACTGTACTTTGTCATAATATCTTCAGCATTTCCCCATGCAGGCATCTCCTGTTCTCAGTCCTACATATCCTATAGCCCTATGTATACTACATCTACCGGACTGTTTCTTATTTCCAATACATTTAAGTCGAGTTTTGCTGGGTTCCCAGCCATGTTGATGTCTTTTAATGAGCGTGTGGACGCTGCTGCCATGGAAGCTGTCTGCTCTTGTCCTATCTCCCATAAAGGTATTCCTTATTCCAACTTTTACCCAGTTATTCATTCCTCCAACCTTACCTGTTGGCAGGATTGTTGGTCTTCTGTTACTGGTACGGGGGGGATAACTTCTGTTACTGGTTACGGGGGGATATTATAGGGTATTAAAAGTATCAACACAGGACAGAACACGAAACAATGGGTATAAATTGGATAAGTTTAGATTTAGGAAAGACTTGGGTAAATACTGGTTCAGTAACAGGGTTGTTGATTTGTGGAACCAATTGCCGCGTAACATTGTGGAGGTGGGGTCCCTCGATTGTTTCAAGCACGGGTTGGACAAGTATATGAGTGGGATTGGGTGGTTATAGAATAGGAGCTGCCTCGTATGGGCCAATAGGCCTTCTGCAGTTACCTTTGTTCTTATGTTCTTATGGTAACAAACTGCCAAATTGCGTACTCTTACGAGTGGTGTCCTCATGGCCTAATCTCCTACCACCGTAACCGGTGATGGGAAACGGCTCTGGTGAGGTTGCGTATTGGCCATACACGCTTAACTCACGGTCACTTAAAGGAGTGCCGCCTTGCTCCTTATTGTCCATCTTATGGTCGGGCATATCCTTGTTGAATATCCTGACTTCCAGGACGAGTGTCTTGCTTTCTGACCATCCCTCGCGGTCGCTTGTCCCTCGATAGAATTCTTGGTGAATCGAATACTTTTGATACCGTTCGCCTTATGCGTTTCTGTTCTCGTATTAGCACCCTTGGTAATATTTAGCGCCCTCGGATTATTCCACACATTTGATGGTGCTACATAGCCTTCCTGGCTTGGTGCCTTCTTTGATAATTACTTACATCTACCGGAAATGATTTGTCTGAGGAGTTCGTTGCCGCTTCCAAAAATGTGAATAGGGTTTGTAAGGCAGGATCTATTTTTAACAAACCCATGTTGTGTCGATTTTACAAGATTGTTTACGGTAGGATGGGGTCCACCATCCACCACAAAGTTGATGGTGGATGACAGCCTTAAAAGTGAAGGATTTAACTGCCTATGAGGCCTTGTGGACTTATGGGTGTCACTCACCACAAATTTCAATATTATTTCATATTTTTTTTTAAATCTTGTATTTTTTCACGTTCTACATTCAGCACCAACATTATAGTAAATAGTCTTTGAGGGTGTGTAGGTTGCTTGACCACCTAGGTACCTGAATTTACCTGAGGGCCACTAACACTAGTGGCCTCGACGTGGACAGAAAGCCAGCGGCTTTCCATGGTCCCCTCCCTTTGTCCTGATACTTTTTTGAGCTGGGTTTTAAATTTCAACATTTACTGCTTAAGAACATAAGAATAAAGGTAACTGCAGAAGGCCTATTGGCCCATACGAGGCAGCTCCTATCTATAACCACCCAACCCCACTCATATACATGTCCAACCCACCCTTGAAACAATCGAGGGACCCCACCTCCACCACGTTACGCAGTAATTGGTTCCACAAATCAACAACCCTGTTACCGAACCAGTATTTACTCAAGTCTTTTCTAAAAATAAACTTATCTAACTTATACCCATTGTTTTGTGTTCTGTCTTGTGTTGATACTTTTAATACCCTATTAATATCCCCTTTATGTCCATTCATCCACTTGTAAACCTCTATCATGTCACCCCTAACTCTTCGCCTTTCCAGTGAATGCAATTTAAGCTTTGCTAATCTTTCTTCATATGAAAGATTTCTAATTTGGGGAATTAACTTAGTCATCCTACGCTGGACACGTTCAAGTGAATTTATATCCATTCTATAGTACGGCCTACTATATAGTACTATAGTTCTATAGTACGGCGACCAAAACTGAACTGCATAATCTAAATGGGGCCTAACCAGAGCAAGATATAGCTGAAGAACTACACCAGGTGTCTTGTTACTAATGCTTCGATTAAGAACATAAGAACATAAGAACAAAGGTAACTGCAGAAGGCCTTTTGGCCCATACGAGGCAGCTCCTATTCTATAACCACCCAATCCCACTCATATACTTGTCCAACCCGTGCTTGAAACAATCGAGGGACCCCACCTCCACAATGTTACGCGGCAATTGGTTCCACAAATCAACAACCCTGTTACTGAACCAGTATTTACCCAAGTCTTTCCTAAATCTAAACTTATCCAATTTATATCCATTGTTTCGTGTTCTGTCCTGTGTTGATACTTTTAATACCCTATTAATATCCCCCGGTTATGTCCATTCATCCACTTGTAAACCTCTATCATGTCACCCCTAACTCTTCGCCTTTCCAGTGAATGCAACTTAAGCTTTGTTAATCTTTCTTCATATGAAAGATTTCTAATTTGGGGAATTAACTTAGTCATCCTACGCTGGACACGTTCAAGTGAATTTATATCCATTCAATATGGAAGTTGTAGTGAAGGACCTGGTGACTCTAGTGGGAGCCCTGAGGACAGAGTTGGACTCTCTGCGGGAGGAGGTGCGTCAGCTTAAAAAACAACGAGAAGTAACGAAGGAGGAGACCAGCAGTAAAGGGACCTCGTCTTGGAGAGTTGCGAAAGACAGGGGCCTTAAGAAGACTTTGATAAAGCCGCCTTCAAACGCCATAGCAACTTCAAATTCATTTGACGTTTTGGAGGACGAGTGCTGTGGAGAGGCTGTGGATCGCGCAAAAGGGAAAGCAACGAAGAGAAAGGAAGCGCAGGCCCCTCAGAAAGTAAAGGAAGTACCTAAGCAAACATTAGTTGTGGGAGATTCCCAGATAAGGTATTTGGATAGAACGTTTTGTGCTAGAGATAGGGGGAACAGGTTAAGGGTTTGCTATCCCGGAGCTGGCATTGGTGATATTATAAACAACATGAATGATATTATGGCTGGTAATGGGAACAATCCCATTATTTGCATTAGCGTGGGAGGAAATGATGTTGGTCGAGTCAGGAGTGAGGAACTGATTCAGAGGTATAAAACAGCCATAGAGTTAGTTAGGAGCAAGGGAGGAATCCCGATCATATGTGGCATTCTTCCAAGAAAGGGAGTGGGAAATGAATGGATATCGAGGGCACTTGGTGTCAATTGCCGGCTGGAAAGATATTGCAAATCAAATGCAATATCTTTCATAGACAACTGGGAACACTTCTATGGAAGAAATGAAATGTATGCTCGTGATGGGGTGCATCT